CAAGTTAGCGTACTCAGTCGCTGGTTAGCATCACACTTCTGTGACCGGGGATAGGCCCCGAAATCCAAAGACCGGTGAGGTTAGGCCGGTGGGGGAGCTGGGAAGATGTCGTTAGCGGGATTCGAACACGAGCGAGTTGAGCGGTGTTGGAGGGAGTGGGAGTGGACCACTACGCTATTTTCTTGGACTTTGATGGGATGGTGGCGAGATTACGGGGGTTATATGGCGAAGGGACTTCTGGTTCTACGCTCCAAAAGATTTGGGCTGCGCTTGATGGCGAGGAGAGGGGGAGGCTCCCAGCAGTTGTGCGGCGGGTAGGCAGGAGCGGAGGTTTTGTTGTTGTGCGGCGATGACGCGTTTGCTTCTTTCGCGGGAGAACAACAGCATTGCGTTCTGGCAGGCTGCGTATGCGTGTAGCTCCGACAGCATGTAGATGCGTTATGCAAAAAAAGACATGAAGCAGCGAGGATGCTGCAGGATAGAAGGCAATGCGAAGATACGAGCTGGTGAAGGGCTCTGGAGCATATTGATACTCTACAACCAACTATGCAGTAAGGCTACGTCACATTCTGGATGACACATTAGCAAAAAAAGATCAAGTCATCCAGATCGAACAGCCGAAGCGATCAATCTGAAGGGAATATTGGACTTACCAAGAAGGTGAAATGAATGTAAGTAGGCCGAAGCCAACGCAAATGCTGAAAACGGCCGAAGCCAACACAACGCGAAAGAAGGCCGAAGCCAGGAAAGAATGGTAAGCCCTATATTGGCGCGGAAAAGCAAGAAAGGATAGCAGGTAGTGATACTATTCGAACTCGTTAGCTTTTGTATCCCTCTTGAGGTGAGAGTGCGATTGACCGCCGGGCTATTTGATCTGGATGACTTGATGGAAGAATACAACTCCAGGTCCCTTTATATCTCCGGTCAACGATACTTGCATCCCCGAGAAGATGATCGGACTTTGGAAAAAATCGACATGATCCTGGTGTTGGGTATCGCCTTGGTGAAGCTGGCGGTGATGGTGGTGTGGGCCCTTGTAATGAGGGCGCGATCCAGAGCGGGGGCGGTACCGTGGTGACAACGACCGTCAAAGAGTGCGGCGCCTTAACATTTCGGATGGCAAAGGAGACGAGACTTGAGATGAACATGTAGAATGGAAAGGTGACATGGATAAGGAGTAGCATCGTGCTGGAAATAACAAAGGAAAATATTCACGAAAGGCGTAGGAATGAGAGGAACGATCCGACGTATGGAAGCGCACCACAGAAGCCAGGAGATCCGGACAAGATGAAGGTCAGTATGCACGAGCTGCAGAAGCTATGCCATCCTTAATGCAGGAGATGGTGTGGTCCTGAACGACATCCAAGGAAGCCGTGTCAAGCCCATGATGCGGGGGCATCAGGGGCAAAATGCGCGAGATCAGATGCCAAGCAGTGAATACCCTCCGCATCGATGACGAAAACGATGCAGGAAGGATACGTAGGCCTTGCAGACACCCAGGAGGTGGTGGTAGCAGAGACTGCCATCGCAGCCTTGAGGTTTGACGTTGGGAAGAACGGGGCCATTCGGCGGTGCTTGCTAGTTCGGGCATGCCGTGGGGCCTTTGGCGGCTTCAAGGCCTCGCCAACTTCATGTCCACAACACCAACATCGACCCAAACGTCATGGCGCCATCGAGGGGTCTGAACATATCGCATGCTCAGCGCGTCTGCTCACGACATGAATGCACGAGTCGCAATCCGTATGCGGCTCCTCGCAGCTTCCGCACGCTTTCGACAGGCTGGACAATATTTGCCCCGAACGGTTTGCTCCTCCCCAGACGACAAGACGCCCTGCGTAGCTCTTGGAGAAGCTCTGCGACACCATATACGACATGGGATACGGTTCGACAATACTCGTCCTTCACGGAGAAGCTCGCCGACCCCGCCAACAAGCTGCAGACCTACGTGTCCCGCAGCAGCGATCCGTACCTCAACCTCTCCATTGAAGACCACATCCTCCGCAAGAGCCCCGCCGACAGCACTGTCCTGTTTCTCTATGTGAACAGGCCTTGCGTCGTCATCGGGCGAAACCAGAACCCGTGGACGGAGGTCAATCTGGACATCCTCAACGCCGCCCGCGGAGCCCACGACGCCAAAGACAGCGAGCCGCCGGGCATCGGTACGGTCGACCTTGTACGCCGTCGCTCCGGCGGAGGGACTGTCTTCCATGATGAGGGCAACCTTAATTGGAGCATCACATGTCCCCGCGGCGACTTCACACGCGACTTGCACGCCGAGATGGTCGTTCGCGCCTTGCGCAAGCTGGGCATCGAGCGCGCCAGAGTCAACGAGCGTCATGACATCGTTCTCGACCAAGGGCACGAGAGGCACACGGCCGACCCTCAGGACACGCATCGCACGCCCTACACCACCGACGAAGGCGGACCAAGGCCGCTGAAGGTGTCCGGCTCAGCATACAAGCTGACGCGCCAACGCGCTTTACACCATGCGACGACGCTGCTGAGTTCGCCGAATCTGCACATCATACCCCACTACTTGCGATCTCCCGCGAAGAGCGTCATACAAGCCCAGGGTGTTGAGAGCGTCAGCTCGCCTGTGTCCAACATTGGTCTCGACGTGTCGACATTCCAGGAACGTCTGCAAGAGGAGTTTGCGTCAATGTATGCTGAGCTGGGAGCTCCAAGCATCGTGCAAACTGTCGGCGAGGAGCACTTGAACATCCCCGATATCCAGAAAGGCTACGACGAGCTACAGGTACACACGTAGCCCTCAATGTTCTCGCTGTCGTTACTAACGTCCGTAGACTGATGATTGGATGTGGTCGCAAACCCCTGCCTTTAACCTCGTGCTCGATTCCAAGGACGACATTGGCCTCCAGATGAAAGTGCATCATGGCGTTATCAAGAGCTTGGATTTTGAGGACTCCAGCCTTCCGCGAGACAGTCAAATAAGACTTCAGGCTGCGCTAGTCGGTATGAAGCTGCAGAATGTTTGGACCTCAATGAACTTCGTGATGATGAGCGAACACAGCCAGGACGATCGAGTCGTGACTGCGGCGAAGCGACTGAGGCAGCTCTTGCCTGTACCTGACCTATTCAGGCCTTGAAGCTTGACATTCACAATCTGGCCTGACAAGACTGCTCATGGGTCGTCTGTGAAGAGTCGGGATGACCACCAAAGTTGTAAGAGTTGGCCAGTATTGGTACCATAACCCTGGATACTCCACTGGGTCGCTTCCTGGAACCTGGAGAAGATACACCCGTATGAAAGAGCAGATATGAACCCAACTCTTGACTCCCTGTCGTGCTTGCGTTGCGCAAGCGTTCATCTTTCCGTCGTCTGAGGAGCCATCCACACCGAGAGCCCGATATGTTGCGCCCCTTGTATCGCAGCCCATGCCCGCATGCCGTGGTGCAAAGCAGCATCGTGGTCCGTCTGGATGTATGAAGAGTTGTTCGTCGCTATGGCTGTTCGTCGTCGCGGTTCTGTCGTCGCGCAAATCCGTAAGATGTGAAGTATCCCGGTCACAGGTATAGCAGAGCGGTCTCGTCATGTGAGGCTTTGTCTTGTCGGACGCAGCGCTGTGTGCTTGAGGACATGCGACGGTTCGCCGAAGCTGTCTGTCTTCATAGTAAGTGTCGCCGTCAGGTGAGTTATGCCCTTGGTCGAGATTGCCGTTGCGCTCAACCTGAAGCAAGGCTGCGTATGGCTCTGGCTCTTCGCGAAGCTGTTGCTTGCGCGGATGCATCGGTAAAGGTGTGCGGCTGGTAGCACCAACGCCGCCAGGTACGAGGTAGTCACCAGCGGAGCAGTAATATGCATCGCCGAGGCGTAGCCATACGATGCCGCTTGTAGCAGTAAGTCTCCTGTCGTTGTAGGGGCGGTCGCGGTATTCTTTGTCCGTGTCGATTCTTTGTCCTCGATGGAAGAGCTCTCCGCGTTTCGAGGTAGCCCCTCAACCCCATCGCCGGTGCGATCTAGTAAGGCTCGAGGGCTCTATCTGTGCGATGGTAGGTATGGATGAGGGCCTGGTCGCGCTGCCTGTCCGGCTTCGTGGTCTCAGTCGGAGCTGCGGGGGTCGTGGTTCGGGGAGACGGCCGGAGGTCTCGAAGAATGTAGGCAGTTGGTTCTCCGCCGCGGGGTAATTCCAAACTGCGAAGCTGTTCTGAGCGACATCGAGTCTGTCTGTAGTCAATGGGAGTAAGGTGAGTGTCTTCATCGTGTTGGCTGGGGGTCTTACAGTGGGCTGCAGCTGGGCCTTTGGCGGTGGAGAAAGCGGCCTTGAGGCGGTCCTCGAGCCTCGTCGGCCTCCGCAAGGAGCGCCAGCAGCTGCACGTAGGAGGTGAAGCTTTGAGAGGTCATGATACTCGTCGTCGTCAGGAGGTCGCCGATGCCAGGCTCGACGGAGAAAGCGTCCTTGGAGCGGCCCACGACCCTAGCCCGCCGCCACGAGGAGCGCCAGCAGCTGCATGTATGGAATGAGAACATAAGAGGCCGTGTTTCTCGGGAGCGCCAGGAGGTCGCCAATTTCAGCTTCTACGTAGAGAGCCCCGTATGAGGTAGACCTGGAGCTTATCACGAGCTTCTGCGGCGATGAGCAAAGCGGTGGAACAGTCCCAGAGGACCACATGAGCTGGACATGTGTCTTCCAGTAGCGGTTGAACGACGTGAGTATCGACAGGGAGGGTTGTGGGTGCAGTGCATTTGTGAATCTGGTGTTGAGTATGTCCGAGCATTGGGGGGCTCCCAGTTCGCCGCACTAGCGCCAAATCACCAAACCAGCACAACAATTGAGGCATTTCAGCTCATAGGTTTGCAAGTCTTCAAAGGCCCAAGCTTACTAAAGCCCACATGGCATCTACAGTCACCTTGTATTGGAAATTGGCCAGCTACAGCCATGCTTTGCTATTTCAGCTCCGTTTGGCAAACTCTCACCATCACCACCACCACCATACACACTATACCCACAACACAACAACAATCCCACTATCCAACCCAAATGGCCTTTAGAAAGTGGCTAGACGACAGCAGGAAGAAGTTCCTGTGCAAGGGAGCGGTGCTCAAAGAGCACATCAAGCAGAAATGGAACCATTTTTGGGATATTTCCCACAGCGTGAGCCACACGCCTGTTGAACCGAGCTCCAGTGAGGAGGAGGAGGAGGAGGAGGAGGAGGAGGAAGAGGATGACAACGACGACGACTAGGCTGCATAGGCAGCGAGATGAACGACTTTTGGGCTGCAAAGGCAGCGGTATGAAACAGGTTTGAGGACGTCGTTGAACCCCAACGTTTTGACGGCGACTCGACAGCGAGGCGAGGAGGTATCCGAGGCCATGGAGCAAGACGGCGGTGGGCTGTGAGGTGGGTGAGGAGCCTACTCGGACGTTTGTAGGTGGTGGAGGTGGATGGGAAGATGGGCCGTAGAGGTCACAAAAGCTTCGCAGACTCACCCAGGCTTACCGGATGAAGTACCCTGGTCAACATCAGCGTATTCTGGGAGCTCAAAGTACCTCGGGAACATGCACGTCAGCATCTCGGGCTGCACCAACTTATAAATACGGTCGGACATTTTGGATGGCTTCTGGTCCCGCTTCCTTGGCAAACCACCGCCTATTCGCCCGTCGCCGTTTCAGCCTTTCGCTTCAACCACTCGCCCTCGCAGCGCATATTTTCATCGCAACCGGTCAACAGCCTTGGGAACACAGATATGCACGCCTCTGCACGACTAAGTATCTCGATCCAATCGTCGCGACCCCTCATTCTGGATGCCTGTTGTTTCGAAACACGGACAGGCCATGAAACGGCTGCCATCAGCGTTCGCCGCGTTTCAGGTGAACTACGCCTCCTCCACAACGCTAGCCGCATTTCTGGTCGCTGCAGCTGAGGCTGAGAATATGGCTGGGTTTATATAGCTGGCGATGAAGGCATGTTGGTGTTTTGGTCAGGGCGACGTTCTTCAACTACTAGCGCAGCGCGCATTGAATACATCTCTTTCTTGTACATCCTTTCCTCTTCTGCATCATGAACGGTTACGAACACTCAAGCGCTGGCTCGCTGTATACATGCGATACGACTGATGATTTCGGAAACGAAGCCTTCGACACTGCGTTTTCAGCATGGGGCTACATGGAGGATCAACCCAGCATTGCCAACAAGTATCAACAAAGCCCTATCGGTATGTTAAGGTTACTCCCAACGCCACAGAGTAGTACTTTGACTGACTCGAAAACAGAGACTCTGCAACCTCTTCCTCGACAATGGCCGACCGCGAACACCATACCCCAGCCCTTCGTTTCATCGCAACACCTCTCCGCTTCGAGCTTCTCGTCGGCAGTGTCAAGCTATCGATCGTCTGGTAACAGCAGCTTCTCGCAGACCCCTCTTCGAGACTCAATGTCATCCTCCACATCAGGCTATTCGAACACGTCCGATATGTCGAGGAACCAACACTTTTCAATGGCGGAGCATCTCTTGTGTCACGGTCCCGCCGATCCACCTCTATATCCCGCTACCCCAACAGAAGAGCCCAGCCACCGTCCCACCAAGATCAAGTCTCCCAAAAAACCACACCCACAATCAAAAGACTACTTCAAAACCTGCGTCTCCGCACACAAACAATCCCGCCTCTGCCCCAAACCCCACGCCTACTTCTGCACAATCTGCACCCGCCCCTTCATCTCAAAAGCAGACTGGAAACGGCACGAAGAAACCTACCAAGAGCGGCCCGAGATGTTCGTGTGTGGACTCTGCGAGTGCATATATTTCCTAGCTAAGGACTACACGAAACACCACGCGCAGGCCCACCGATGCACGTCCTGCGCCGCGGTGGGGCCTGGCAGGCAAAAGGTTCATGCGCTGTCTGCGCGACGGAGGCGCATGACGAGGACGGGCTGGGGCTGTGGGTTCTGCGTTCATTTTAGTAGCGAGTGGGGGGAGAGGTGTGATCATGTTGCGCGGCATATGGGGGAAGAGGGGAAGGGGGTGAGGGAGTGGAAACATACTCATGTTATCTACTCTCTACTCCAACGACCGGGTATATATCATGAGTGGATGCGACTAGTCCGTTCACTGCCCAGTCTTACTAGCTTCGGATGGAACAGGACGACTACTGGACGCGTCGAGGGATATCCAGAGAGTAATCTTACGCCTCAGCTGCAGGATTACCTTGAGTATTTTACGGAGGAGCAGGATGCGGCGGCTGTGGCTAGGTTGGCTTATGCGAAGATGAAGAGGGCGACGAAGCCGATGAAGGGGGGTGAGCGGCCGCCTGTTCCGCCGAAGGATTATCCTGCTGTGGCGGTAAGGGATTGGGATGGTGAGATGTATTCGTGGGGGCAGCTTACGGAGTCGGTGGTTGAAGACGATGTGCTGCCTACGGGGATTAGTCGTTTGGGGGGATGGTATGCTGGGCAATGATTCTTTGGGCAACTCGTCTTCTGCGGGGTCTAATGTATAATGAATTGATGGCCATGTTGGCAAGAGAAGATCTACAACAAACCCATAAGGACGCATGATCAACATCCTCGCCATCACCACCCCTCCAACCCCTCCCCCTTCGTCTCTAAACTCGGCGGCTGAACAGGCATACCCTTCTTCAACGCACCCACAAGCGGGTCTTTGCTCATCATCTCCTGTATCTTCTCATCACTGCCGACATCAGCCTTAACCCGCTTATACGCCATCCTCGAAGGCTTGTCCACAACATTGAGAAAGCTCTCCCTTCTCGCCGTCGACCATGCATTCAACAACCTCTCATCATCCTGCGCCTTCCCAGTAAGAACACGAACAAGAACCTCAGACAGCGAAGACGCATCCGCCATCCCAGACGCCAAACCAAGTCCCGCATACGGATTCGTCAAATGCGCCGCATCCCCCACAAGACAAACACGCTCCTCGTGATGATACAACGACGGAACAAGCCGCTGCTGCGCTTTATACGGCGCCACCCTCACAACCTCATACGCTTTCCTCCCCTGCCCATCCCGTCCTCCATCCGGCATCATAACCCCCAACTTCTCGTCCAGCGTCCTCATAATCTCCTCCTCAGACACACCAATCGGGACCCCGTAACTCACGCGCCATAAAGCGGGTTTCCCATCCGCGGTGGCGTCGGCGTGGTTGATACGGCCAATGAGACCGTAGTTCAGCGGATCCATGATGAAATTCGCGTCGTGGAAGCCGTGGGCGGCGAAGTCGAAGTAAAGGTCTGTGGCTACGAGTTGGGCGTCGAGGGTTTCGCCTTCGAGGCTGATGGAGAGGTCTTTGCGGATGGTGGAGTGGGCGCCGGATGCGTCGAGTAGGTAGGCGGCTTCGAGGGATTCGGAGCCGAGTTGTGTTGAGGTGGCTTCGGGGGTGATTTGCACGGTGACGCTGCTGGGTGTGGATTTGAAGGAGGTGACGCTGGTTCCGAGGCGCACTTCTGCCTTTTTGTCACCCAGAGCTGCTAGGCGCTTCATGAGGATTTGTTGGAATTTTCCCTGCGGTAAGAGGAGTTGTCCCTTTCCTTTCATTCCTTCGCCTGAGTTGTCGAACTCTTTGCTTGCGATCACTTTGCTTCCGTTTTGGATGCTCGTTCGGAAACATAGGCCTGAGCTCAGACTTCCCGTCTTCACTAGTTCCGGTAGTAAGCCTTCGACTTTGGATAGGATGGGATATGTTGGCGGTTGATGTGCCATCGCACGCGTCGACATGGGATCTGGCTGCTGCGGTTCGATGACAACCACTTTGTTGGGGATTTCTGACTGCGCGAGGAGGAGAGCTAGAAACAGACCGACGCAACCGCCTCCTGCAATTACGATTGGGAGGGGTTTGGCATTGTCACCGTTGGTGCCTTTCGCGTGCGAGAAGCCATAGGAGAAGTCGTTAGAAACGTTGGTATCATCGTTTCCGGTGCTAACGTTGAGGCTCGATAAGTCGAGATTAAGTGCAACCGAAACCGCCATAGCTAGTGGATGGTCTGAAGCTTCTGTTGTTGAGTTGGTGGTAATCTGGTAATTCAGATGTGTCGAAGGTGGACTGATGCTGTTCACGGTGGCCGGGGTCTATATCTGGATGCAACGTCGATTTCGTGGTTTAACATCAGAAATGGCATCTTAGTATTGCGTATGTGTATCAACGGTTCTTTTTCGGATACCGAACGATGTTTCCGGCGATGTGGTGCTGTCATTGTGGTACCTGCCGCAACGGCCCCGATGTGGGGAACCGGCGACTTTAGCCTCAGGGTCCAGGCGACGTCAGAGGGTTTCAGGGACCTTCGCCCGACCACCGAAATCACAGGAGATGTGCACATGCAGAAAGGATTATAAACTATCATCTTTTGAGACTATTTGTAAGAACGTTGATACGTCTTGCCATCTACCTGACCGTAGTATAACGCTGTGCGGACAACTGCCTCTACCAACAACAACTTGTTAGGAAGAAGCACGCCAATCTCGCGCCATCCTGATGCAATAAGTACTAACCTTCTGAAGTCCCCTCTCACGGGTACAGAAACTGGATGGCAGCCTTGTCTAGATCCGAGATCTTAGTAGGACGTGGAATCCTCTGCGCGTTCGACGAATCAGGTCCTGAGCCGTCACTAGGACGTCCGTTCTTCCAGCGCACAAGAGGCATATCTTGGACGGCGCCGTTTGGATATCCAGCGGCCGAAGCAGAATAGTATTGCATGATGGAGTCGTGGTCGTACTGAAAACCCTTGGTTGGAACATAGTCGTGACGGTCCTCGTTTTGGCCCATGTCCAACGAATACTCATGAGGTACCCCCCAGTTGAGGTCCCTGGTGGTACCCAGATATTGCGACTTACATACTTCGTCGATCGTGAAACCCCTCCACCGGGGCTCGCTCTCAACCTTTTTCTTGGCCTCCCAGTAACCGATGAGCTTCGTGCAGTCGAAGTGGACAAACTGGTCCCCTGAAACCATTAGTTAAAGTAGGAATATTTCCACATAGACAAGACTCACTATCAGCTCGCTGATGCTCATGCTCTAAGCCAATAACATGTCCCATCTCGTGGACTACTTCCCAGGCCCAATTGTTCCATCCGGATGAATCGTAGGCGATCTGGAGACTGTGGCGACCAGGACGGTTGTCGCTGAACATAGAAAAAGGTCTTTAGTAATTTGGCGGCGGATATTAAAAATGTCGACTTATTTAGTTGACTTACTATTTTTCAGCGGCGTATCCTGTTGTCGCACGACTGTGACCCACCGTCGACCACTCGATCACAAGGGTACCTTGGGGGACTCGTGGGTTCCACATCCATTGTTTGGTTTGATATATGAAGCAGCGCGGATGCATGTTGTTGGCTTTGTCGTAGTAATGGCGAAAGCCATCAAATCGATGTCGATTCTTAGATGGGGGGCCCAACTTGTTCTTCCACGCAACTGCTGCATCATTCACTATCGTAGGCAAAGTCAGTAATCTTAACTCTGGCAATACAAGCTGGAACAAGCAGCGTCACGTACCGATCTGATGAAGCTCATGATAGTCCCTACGTGTTGCGAAGCAGTAGTGGATGTACACCAGATTAACGTTCTTGAGATCGTTAGGCCAGACGGCCTTGTTGGGCGTGGCTCCGCCGCCGATGATGGTCATCCAACCCTTGCCTCCGTCACCACCTAGCTGCCCGCTTGCTTGTAGTTCAGCGACACGGTCTTCGACCAACGAGCTGTTGGTGAGACGATTGTCGTTGAAAGGGAACGTGCAGGCGGAGGTCAGTGTCGCAAAAACACCGACGAGAAGGAGGAGTAACACCCGCATGTTGAACCAAGATGTGGGGATTTCAAGTAAGTGGAGTGCGGTGAAGTCGGTTGACGGGTAAGAGAGGAGATGAGAGGACGGATTGTTACCGACAAGACAACTTAAAAGCTTTTGCTAGCGCGATTATCTCTTCAGTATATATGGCCGCCTGGAGGTGAGCGAAAAAGAGCAAACGCTCCCAAGGAAGCTTTGACCAATACAGCGTCCTGGACGGGCGGTGACCGATCGGCTGTCTCTGCCCGCCACCTCTTATGGATATTGTAACAACAACAGGGCAAGCAGAAGCACGTTTGCAAAACAAAGGTAAGTAGAACGGTTAGTCAAGAATAGACTTGTTGATACCTAAAGCAGTGACATGATCTGATAGACGATCGGAGCCCACAGCTATCTAGTCTGAATTTCGTGATCCGATAAGCAGAAAAGCTCTTACATCGTAGCTGCTCGAATAGACTGAGATTGTGACACAGTATACACATCAAGTCGCTTGCTCACAAACCCTACTTCCTCGCAATCGCAACATCAGCAACCATCCTTATCTTATTCACCCCACCCTCAACCTTGGACCACTCATTACGAGGCAATTCTTCCACGATAGAGTCGAGCGCCTCCTCCCACATCCTCTCATCGCGCTGCTGCCATCCACCGACAGGCGTCCCCAAAAAGGTCCACGCAATAGACGCCCATCGCCTAAGATCAGTACCAAGATTCAGAGACGCCTCCTTCTGCACATATTTGACATCCTTCCACCCAGCCGCCCTGGTGGCTTGCTCAATCTCTTCCTTCTGAAAGCAACTCTTGCTCAGAAAAGGCGCGATTGGCTCCTCCGTACCACGTGTCTTGTAGTGCGCGTTCTTAAGCGCAATTTGCCATGGCATTTCTGCCCAACCAGTAATAACGCCTGTGCCACCTGGCTTCAAAGTACGTAGGATATGCGAGGCGGCGCCGCCGTCGTCAGAAAGGCCTGCGAAGACGAAGTTGATGAAGGAGTAATCGAAGGTGTTGTCTGGGAAGTTGAGGTTGCAGGCGTCCATTGTCTCGACTTTGACTGGCCACGAGGGCTTGTCGGTGAGATTGGCTTGCAGTTGCGCGAGGAACATGGGGTTTACGTCTGTGGCGTGGATCTTGAGACTGCTTGGGAAGCTGCTTCCCATTATCGCTATGGTCACTGCGCCGGGACCGCAGCCGTTGTCGTGGACGACAGACGTTGCAGCGAGTGGTGGGAATCGCTGATACCGCCTTGGAGTTCTTGGAAGAGGGCGCCGTCGAAATCGAGCGCTTGCTTTGGCTTGGACGGGGCGGTCATGATTTTGGAATTGAATTTGTACATGAAAGTGCTGTTATGGGGTTTGGGTATGTAATGTGCCTGTGTGAGCCTAAAAGATGACAGTAATACTGTGGTGTTAAAAAAACACATCGTCATATACTGGAGTCGGAGACGTTTCCAGAGGTATGGTCCGAGAAAGCTCATGTGCACGACATCCATAGAGCCAGACGTAATCAGACGTTTGCGTTTGGAGCACTCGAGCATATCTCAGACGCTGTCCGACGAGGCTTTTGGGTCCCGTTTCTGACTGACCAATCTTGGAAGGAGACCTAGTCTGAGGACTCGGAGCGGGAACGAGGCATAAATGATTGTGACGGCAGAGTAGAATAGCGGTCGGTAGTACTTCATGGTCTGGAGGATCGAACAGGTTACGCGGTCAGTCTTGGCTTGTTTGAGCTGGATTGCAGGAGATGGCGGAGGGCTCGGCTACCCCGCGAAGGTTGGCGCGCTGTCGCTGATGGCTCGAGTGGTGAAGCAGTGCACACAAGGAATTTGACTCCTTTGTCATCAGAACGATGTACAAGTCGCCGAATGCGTGTTGATGACTACGAGGGGCATGCGTCGGTCTAAAGATGGGACGGTAGTAGTGAGATGTGGCTAGTGACGTACGCCACCCGTGGACCGCGTGGGCCGAAACAAACCATAGAACGGGACACGAATTGCCAAGTCAAGACATCCACGAATGCTCCCCCAGGACCCCCAGATCCTCTTTCTCCCATATACCAAGCCTTCTTGATGCGGTAGCGACTGCATTACGCGTCTTTCAAGATGTCTGCGCCCACTACATCGGATCCCATACAGCAGAGTGGTAGGTGAGCTTGCAGCCCTCGGAGGTGCCAGTAAACTCCGCTTTCACGTCGCGGCCCATGTGGGAGCACGGGAGAATTATACGCTAACTGGTGACGACAGGCACTTTGTCCAAGTCGCAGAAAAAGAAGAACAAGAAGAAAGCCGCCGCTGCGAACAAGGCGGACGGCACAGACAAAGTGAATGGGGACCACGCCAGAAGCGACGCGGAGGATCACGACGAAGACGCCGAGGATGAGGCCGAGCAGGCTGTATGCGGTCCACGAGAGCCCTCTATGCAACCACGAGTACTAATGGTGTCAACGCAGAAGCCCGCCGCGCATTCAGCCGATCCAGACGCCGACGACGTAGACGACGACCAACCGCCGCTGTCGCCGACCCTGCAGACAAACGGGACTCCACACCACAGCATCTCGTCCGCGATTGCGCTTGGACTGGCACGCTCACGCTCGCAACAAGGAATCTCCGCGTCTCCACCTCCTCCCTCAGACGCCAGCGCACGCCTAGACGCGATAGCCAAGGAGCGCGATGCGCTACGCCAGGAAGTCACGGAGTTGAGGAAGAGTCTGGAGGAGGTTCAGAACAAGCAGGCCACGGGGACATCAGACGAGTCACATGCGAATCATGAGGAGGAGATGCGGAGTTTGAGGGAGGAGCTGGATGAAGCCAACGAGGGCAAGGAGCACTTTGAGACACAATACAAGAACTTGCTGGGTAGGGTCAATACGATCAAGACCAGCCTGGGCGATCGGTTAAAAGCCGATGCGGTATGTTCGCGCACGACTGTGCAGCAGACAGAGTACTGACCAAGTGCAGGCCAGAATCGAGGAATTCCAATCGCAAATCGCCGACCTCGAGGAGCAAACCCGCGAGCTACAAGAGAACAACAACAGCCTGACAGAGGAACTCGCAAAGCTACGGCAAGAAAAGGAAGCCCAGGCATCCGAAATCGAGACCCTACGGAGCAGGTCAACTCTGTCGCAACAGAACTGGATCAAGGAACGCGACGAGCTGATTTCGCGAGAAGCATACGCGAGGGAAGAGTTCGAGAACGCCAAACAAGCCATGCAAGACTGGGAAGTGTTGGCCATGAACGAGCGATCTCTGCGCGAGAACCTGGCTGAGAAGGATGCTGAGTTGCGGGATCAGCTGGAGTCGATGCGGGAAGAGTACGAACGCGCTGCCAGGGATAGGGACACCAATAATCAAGCTGTGGAGGGTCTGCAGAAGGCGCTGCAGGAAGTACAGAACCGTGAGTACAATCTTCTTTCGACAAGAGTCTATCCTAATTGACCATATGCAGTGCGAAAAGCCGAGCTCAAAAAGTCCGTCGAGACCTACGAATCGCAAATCAACGACCTGCGGAAACAAGTCCAAGCCGCGGAATCAGCGTCCAACGCCGCCAAAGCCACTCTCGAATCCACGCAGAAAGATCTCGAGCGCGCCCTCCCCTTCGAGAAGGAAGTCAAGGAGAAGAACCTGCTCATCGGCAAACTGCGCCACGAAGCCGTTACACTCAACGAACACCTCACTAAAGCACTGCGGATATTGAAAAAAGGACGGCCGGAGGATAACGTCGATCGACAGATTATCACAAACTACTTCTTGCATTTCCTGAGTATAGACCGGAGTGATCCGAAGAAATTCGAGGCGCTGCAGTTGATTTCTGCGTTGTTGGGCTGGACAGATGGTACGCCCCCTTTCCCTCTCCCTCTCCCACAACCCCCCTCTCCAACCATCCATTCCACCTAACTAACCCCCAACCCAGAGCAAAAAGAGCAAGCAGGACTCGCTCGCCCCGGCACATCATCCAGCTCAACCGGCCTGCGCATCCCCCTTTCCTCGCCCTTTAGACGAACGCCATCGACGGCGTCGCTGAGCGCCGCTGCCGCAGACCCCATGCTCATGGCTAGTAGCTCGAGTAATAAGGAGTCGTTGGCGGAGTTGTGGCAGGACTTCTTGGAGAGGGAGGCGGCGGAGGGGAAGGGCGATGCGAGTAGGAGGGGGAGTACGGTTGGGTCGCCGCCTATGGGTGCTAACGAGAAGAGGTAATGGATGGATGGGTGTAATCATAGAACACTTTGGTGCAACAGAATCGGGTGCTGAAGACACCTTGGATCGCTTGATTCGGTGTGCATTTGCCTGTGGTGTATTTCGTAGTCGCCTGTCCGTTATGTTGTTACATCTTTCATGTACGAAATCCCAACGCCTGAGCCGCGCCTGTATATACGCTACAAATACAGTCATCCAGACTATATGCTAATCGCTCCCGTTCACGGGTCGTTCATGTTTCCCGCACCAACTCTTTCAGCCTGTATACTTCTCCACAACTTCTTCCACCCCGCATCATCTCTTCCACCCCGTGTGCTTCATTACTGCCTCTTCCTTCGCCTTCCTTTGGTCGGGCTCTAGCGTCCGCATTCGCTGCGCCTCTTCGCGCTTTTCCCTCTTCATCACCTTCGCTTGCTTGTCGGTCGGTCGGCGGATGGCCCAGTTGAGCTGGCCGAAGATGGTGGTCTTGATGGCTGGGGTGTTTGTTAGCGGATAGTCCTCTTGATGTGGGGAATGGATGTCTTACCATCCACACAGTAGGGACACAGAATGTGCAGGCGCTTGACTCTTCCACAGCCAGAACATGTGTTCAGCGATGTGATATCTTTCAGTCCCTTGCCCGCCATGAACCGTTGGCGCTTCTTGCGGTATGACGTCTTCTTCTTGGGTACCGCATTGAGTATGCCATCCCAGATGTCGGATAGTGACGGTATTGAGGGGAGTGATAGGGACGGTATCGCGAGTGCGCCGAAAGGTGTGTTGATTGCGCCGAAAGGCTGTGATAGGCGTTGCAGGAAAGGCGTGTTGAGGATGGGCCGCATTGGGCCATTGAGACCCGGAAGCAGCGTCTGCCACAGAGGAGGGAGCGGGCGGGTGAGTGCCATGACTGCAGCGGTGACTGGCTGCGACGGGATTACGTAGGGCCGCGATATGGCGATGCCGGTGATGGTGTTGTAAAATGTCGTGACCCCAGTCCGAGCTTGCAGGTCGCGCCTTACCGCCCTCCCACTAGCGCGCCTTCGCTTCCTAGCTGCCCCCTTTCCCGCGCCTGCATCTCCACGAGAAAGTCGCCAGCGCAGCGACCCTGACTATTTACTCTATTACGACGACACCTCCGACCCTCCTCTCCCCAACCTAATTCCCTTTCACCCACCCACCTCCATCACCCCCAGTCCGCGCCCCGAGGCTCCCATCATCCACAATGGCTGCTGCATACAACCAGAACCAGTCGCAGCCCATCTTCCCGGACAGCTATGTCGGTTTCGACAGCATCACCAAGCAGATTGAGCGCAAGTCGGTCAAGCGGGGCTTCCAGTTCAATGTCATCTGCGTTGGTAAGACACATTCATATCTTCTATCACGTGTGTTCATTGGTATTGACGGTGTACAGGCCAGACTGGTCTCGGCAAGTCGACTCTGATCAACACGCTCTTCGCCTCGCACCTCATGGACTCCAAGGGCCGCTTCCAGCCCGACGAGGAGGTCCGCAGCACCACCAATATCCACCCCGTCTCACACATCATCGAGGAAAACGGCGTGCGTCTGCGCCTCAACATCGTCGACACGCCCGGCTATGGCGACCTGATCAACAACGAGCGCTGCTGGGACCCCATCGTCAAGTACATCAAGGACCAGCACAGCGCTTACCTCCGCAAGGAGCTGACCGCCCAGCGTGAGCGCTACCTCCAGGACACGCGCATCCACTGCTGCCTGTTCTTCATCCAGCCCTCTGGCCACGCCCTCAAGCCCATCGACATTGTCGTCCTCAAGAAGCTCAGCGAGTTTGTCAACGTCGTGCCCGTCATTGCCAAGAGCGACAGCCTGACCCTGGAGGAGCGTGCCGAGTTCAAGCACAGGATAAAGGAGGAGTTCCAGTTCCACAACCTGCGCATGTACCCTTACGACAACGAGGAGGATGACAACGAGGAAGTCCAGGCAAAGCAGGCCATTAAGGTGAGGAAGACTGGCGAGGTGCGATTGGACATCCGCTAACCTACAATAGGAACTCCTTCCCTTTGCCGTCGTCGGCTCTGAGAGGACCGTTGTTGTCAACGGCAGGAACGTCCGCGGTCGCCAGAACAAGTGGGGTATCATCAACGGTAGGCCATCTTCATCGCTCCTCTACGCGAACCCCACTAACACCCCACAGTTGAGGACGAGAACCACTGCGAATTCGTCTACCTCCGCAACTTCCTCACCCGTACCCACCTGCAAGACCTGATCGAGACGACCGCACAAATCCACTACGAGTCGTTCCGCGCCAAGCAGCTGCTTGCCCTCAAGGAGAGCTCCCACCAGGGCCACTCCTCGCGCCCCATCTCACCCTCTGCCGACCGCGAGCTCAGCAGGAACAGCCAGCGCATGACCATGAACGGGTACTAGGAGTTCCCGAATCATAACCGCGTCGATAGTAGCGGGGGCAAGCCCAACGGCCCTCCACCACCGCGTATGGAGCCACGCATGGAAAGGCCTGTCCCTATGATCGATGCTATCTGAGCGGAGGTGGCTTAGGTGTGCGTCAATCGCAAGGGGGGGCATTTGCGACATGTTTTTGATACCAGTGCATCATCTAGCACGAAAAGGGAGAGGAGGAGACTTTGCGGCACACTTTCGATTTGACACCTTTCTCAATATCCTTTTAGTTACGATGGATTCTTATTATCTTTCTTCATCTCGTATGTCATAGCACGGTGTAGTGGTTGAGCTGTGACCTTGGGTTGTGCCCGGGTCCCCTTCTAGGATAGCGGAGTAATTTGAAGCCTAGTGCTTTTCCATCATTCTTGCAAGCACGACTGTACGATGGCTTGGTGTCTTGCCCCGTTTGCCTGGTAGTTCGCTCTTTCCGCCGGTGCAGCGATGTCAGGCCATAATCTTGGGGATGGTACGATGGTCAGTCCGCTCTATCCAGGGAGGCAGGTACGGGATACCAGATGATACGAGCGCAGATCCTCATCTACCATTCTCCCCATTGAGACAGACAGGGCTCAGCGCCGCCCGACCCGCCCGAAGTCATCACACTCAAGCCGTATGCTCAAAACCATCGCCTTCAGCGCAACAACTTCGACCCTGCAAAATCCTCTATACTATCATCCCCCTTCTTCGCACCACCCGCCTTACTCTGCCCAGACACTCTCACCGGCCCCGTCTTCCCTCTTGCTGGTGATCGTGATCCATCAGGTGATTTTGCAGACGTGTTACTGTCGGTCTCGCCGACAATTCGCTCAATAACTTTCGCTTTCGCCCCAGCACGCTTAAACCTATCGTCGAAATCCGCAACGCCTTCTTCAGTGTTTGCAGTGTCGAAGGTGAGGGGGTCGGTTAGCGAGTGCAGGAGTGTGGTGTTGTTGCGTAGTCTCTCATTACTCTTTAACTGCGGCAGCGTTTTCCCTTCCTCCTCTTCATGCTTTGTTGTTGATACGGCATTGGATGTGAGCCCGGGTAACCGTGATCCCCAGACTACACTCCGTCCGTGGAGTTCTCCAAGAGAAGCGAACTTCTCGAAGCCTTTTTCTAAACCGAAAATTCGTCCTTCGATTCGCCCTGCGTGGGCGCCGGAGGTGGCGCCGAGGTTGTAGGCCGTGGTGTAGAGGGTGTCTTCTAGGGTTAGGAGGGCGTCGAAGGGGTCCGGGGAGGGGGTCCGGGTGGTTGGTGGGTTGGTTGGTTGGGATGCCATGGTTGTATGGATAGTGATTCGACGGTTCGGCTGGTTGTGAATTTGGTTGAGAATTTGGTGGTGTATATGGTGTTTCTTTCGTGGTGCTAATGTACAACTTTTGAAGTTATGACTGGATTCAATATCGTTTAAAGTGGATGAGTTTTGTTTTAGTTGTTGTTCGAAAAACTCCACCCTTTGCGCTCTGTAGAAAAGGCAGCAATTCAAGCTTCTATAGACTGCTCTACTGAGATCCGTGTGAGTTCCGCTTCTGAAAGGCGATCAAGTCCTTTGCTGCAAAGATCGAAGTCAGGGTTCAGCCACCTGTGGCGTCACTGGCTGGTGGGGTAAGTTTAGGCGGGGCAGCTACCACACACCCGTCGTGCGTGCAGTCATTCGCGTTTGACTCAGCTACTCGACCAAAGAAACGTGAAGCTGCATATACTCCCATTGCGCGCTCGCTTTCCTCCCATCCTCTTCGCCCTCAACTACATATTCCGATACGTCATAGTAAGAGCTACATCGTCATTTCTCTTACTACTACAACAAGCTGACTCCATACAGCTTACAACCTTCCATGACTGAGACAACCAAGAAGATCCTGCCCGTCGAGGGCGAGCGGAACGTGCTCATTACCAGCGCGCTCCCTTACGTGAACAATGTCCCGCATCTGGGCAACATCGTCGGCTCCGTACTCTCCGCTGACGTCTTCGCTCGCTTCTCACGCGCGCGCGGCTACAACACACTATACGTCTGCGGAACAGACGAATACGGCACAGCAACGGAGACGAAGGCCATAGAAGAGAAGTGTACGCCGAAGGAACTATGCGACAAGTACTACGCGCTGCACAGCGAGGTCTACAAGTGGTTCAATATCAGCTTTGACCACTTCGGACGCACACCCACACAGCAGCAGACCGATATCGCGCAGGACATCTTCACAAAACTGTACGAGAACGGATTTCTGGAGGAACAGACCACGACACAACCATACTGCGAAACACACAAGAGCTTCCTTGCGGACCGATTCGTCGAGGGCACATGTCCGTTGTGCGCATACGAAGACGCGCGTGGAGACCAGTGTGACAAGTGTGGACATCTTCTCGACCCTCTGGAGCTGAAGAACCCGCGTTGCAAGCTCGATGGCGCCACACCAGTTCCGCGCGAAACCAAGCACGTGTACCTTTGCCTCGACAAGCTGCAGCCATCAGAAGAGGAGTGGTTCAAAAAGGCGAGCAAGGAGGGTAACTGGAGCTCCAATGGTGTTCACATTACTTCATCGTGGTTGAAGGAGGGCCTAAGGCCGCGTGGTATCACTCGTGATCTGAAGTGGGGAACTGCGGTGCCGCTCGAGGTACGACGCACTTTTGAACACGACGAAATTCAGCTGACCGGTATCAGGGCTACGAGGACAAGGTTATGTACGTATGGTTCGACGCTTGCATAGGTTACGTGTCGATTACAGCAACCTACACCGAGGACTGGAAGAAATGGTGGCACAACCCTGAACACGTTAAGCTTTACCAGTTCATGGGCAAGGACAACGTGCCGTTCCACACGGTTGTCTTCCCCTGCTCGCAGATCGGTACCAAGGACAACTGGACCATGCTCAACACCATCTCAACCACAGAATACTTGAACTACGAGAAGGGCAAGTTCTCAAAGTCAAGGAACATTGGTGTATTTGGCAACAACGCCAAGGAGACCGGCATTCCATCTGACGTGTGGCGCTACTACCTTCTCTCACATCGGCCAGAAACTGGAGATACCGAGTTCGAGTGGGACGGCTTCATTGCCGCAAACAACAACGAGTTGCTGAAGAACCTAGGCAACTTCATCAACCGCGTGATCAAATTCGTCAACAACGCCAAGATCTACGATTCGGTCGTACCTGACTGGACCAAGTACGACGATGAGTACTTCACCGAGCACAAGAAGAAGGTCAACGATCTGCTGAAGACGTACATTACCGAGCTGGAGGATGTCAAGATTCGTGCCGCACTCGCGACCGCGCTTCATGTCTCGAGCTTGGGTAACTTGCTGCTACAAGACAACCGACTTGACAACAAGCTGGCTACCGAGCAACCCGATCGTTGCGCCGCTGTTGTCGGGCTTGCCTTGAGCCAGATTCATCTCCTCGCGAGTTTGATCGAACCATACATGTGAGTCTTGAATCTCTCCATCACATGACTGTTCATTGTGGTCGAGCAGCATACGATACGTCCCAGTACAGAACTTACGGCTAATCACGATACAGGCCCGATACCACCGCCGCCATCCTTTCCCAACTGAATGCCAAGTTCCTCATCATCCCCGACAAGTGGGAGGCGCAATCACTCCCCGTCGGCCACAAGATCGGAACGGCCGGTTATCTCTTCACTCAAATCAAGCCCGAGAAAGAGCAAGAATGGCGCGAGCAGTTTGGTGGCGAGGAGGCTCGGAAGGCCAAGGAGGAGAAGGCCAAGAAGGCAGCTGCTAAGAAGGCGGAGAAGGAGCGCAAGAAGGCGAAGAAGGCTGCCGGTGCTGACAAGGGTGTTGAAGCTGCAGAGAAGGGTCAAGACGGACCTGCAGCCAAGACCGCTGAGGAGGAAGTGACGAGAGGAGTTGAGCAGGTCAGCCTACAGACCTCATAGTGTGTGAGTCTGATCAGGCGGTTCTGGGAGTTATGGCGCTACGTTTAGGGGAGAGCACTGGCAGCATGATGCAGGGGCGTTTGCATTCAACAAATCTTGGGGGTTGTCACCGTGTGTTTGATGAGAAACATCGCTAAGACCATGGGACGGCAGAGTACGCTTTTCAGGTCCGAGACAGTTGGTCTGTTTCAACATGTAGCCACGCGTAAGGCATGAGTTTGTTATACTAGATCAGACCTGAATTATCCTTTTCGAGGTACCATTGCAAGCGACATCACTGTCAAAATCTCTCCGGCCACCATGTCCGCGTGGTCGGAACACTTCTATTAGTCACCTTTACACGGCTTGTATGCCCCCAGAGAAAGAAGGTAGACCGCAACTTTAGGAGAGCCGCGTTTATCCGAGGTGCCATGGACCCTGGTTTCAAGGTTGACGTAGGTCGTGAGCCGGCTCGTTGGTCTGGGTCAACAACGACGATGATACCAGCTTATTGTGTCTATCTCTACGTCAACCTCAGACATGAGCCCTTCTACGACAAGGGTATCAACGTCGCTGACCCCCATCATAGTAGTTGTGCGGAGATGCGCACTCTTGCACAAAGGGCATGCAGTGACATGTTTGCGCTCAACCACCATCGTGACTACCTTACAGTATGACGCTCCTGCCCTACACGTCTCCATATCCCCCATTAAGTAAATGGCTCACCGGAAATGACGACTACCCCGCATTCTTTGTTTATCACCGTGAGGCATTATCCTCCGCTTCCGTTCTTCTCCTCTTCTCCCCGTCACCTTCACTGTCCGTGCGCAATTTCTCAAGCTGCTGCGTCTCTAGAACTTCCTGGCCGCGTCAGCCAAGCAAAACAACCATACACTCAATCGCAAACCGCAGTTAGTTTGCTCTTTACCCAAACTCGCCGCTGTCGCCATTCCGTCGCATTTGTTCCGCGACAAGGTACTTAGCTTCCCCAATTGCAGCCGCAGATGAAGAAACTAAACATGCGCAGTACCAGCGACCGCAGGTACACCATGGCGAGCGGATACGTCCCCCAAATTGACAAGATGGCCGGGATGACTCCCACGGAGCGCCGCGAGTTCTGCGACACCCCCGAGATCGCTGCCGATGCTTCTTCTGTTAAGCCGCCGAGCACTACCGCCAAGTACGACAGCAATGTCTCGATGAACACCTATCCCGCTGTCGATGGCGAAGGCGCGGAACAGGCCAAGGGCCCGGCTGATATGGAGGGCTTGACTGTTGTCTGGACGAAGAAATGGCTGATTGCCGCTTATGCTGCGTAAGTTCGTCTCGTTCTTGCGCATCATCTTCTGCCCGTTGATGCTTTGTACTGGTACAATATGCGCAACAATGCTGACATCCCATAGGATTATGCTCATCTCTTTCGTCAACTCCCTTCAACAACAAACCAACTTCTCATGGCGACCCTACGTCACCTCGGCCTTCATGATGCACGGTCTTACGGCTATAACCGATATCGTTGCAAACATTGTCGGAGGTGTATCGAAGCTTCCGCTGGCCAAGTTCATCGATATCGTTGGACGACCTCATGGCTTTCTTCTTTGCTTGATGTTCATTGTCGCTTGTAAGTTCATTCACTCCAACCAATCCAATATCTTGCGAAGAGACTCATGGATCCGAAGCTCAAGGGCCAGAAGAAGGCGTTCATCTCGATTCTCCAGTGTACATTGTCAGTGCTGACTAGTGTCCTTGTAGCACTCATTCTCATGGCTCTATGCCAAAACGTCCAGACCTTTTGCGCTGCGCAAGTCATCTACTGGACCGGCATGAACGGCGTCGATTACATCTTCAACATTTTCATCGCCGATACCGCACTTATGCAGAACCGTTTGATCTGGATGGCCTTCACTGGATTCCCCTACGTTGTCAACACCTTCGTAAGTCCCCTTTCTGAAAGTCGGTTGGACGTATACTAACATCCTGTCTAGGCTGGTCCCAAGCTTGGTGAAACCTGGCTCAACCACAGCACTTGGCGTTGGGGCTATGGATCTTTCGCTATCATGACACCAGTCTTCTCGATATCCTTCTGGCTCGTCTTCTGGCTCATGGGTAGGCGAGCAAGAAAGATGGGCGTCATCTCGCGCGAGCCGAGTGGCAGGACGGTCTGGCAGAGCACTAAGCACTGGTGTACCGAGTTTGACGGTAAGTTTCGCTTGCAGTGAGACTTCCATTCCCTGCTAATAGTCACAGTGATCGGGGTCATACTCATCACCGGTGGATTCTCCCTGCTTCTTCTTCCGTGGCCTCTTGCAGTCTACCAGAAGGATGGCTTCGGCTCTCCAATGTTTATATGCATGGTCAGCTTCGGAATTTGCCTCATCCTGCTCTTCGTGGCTTGGGAGCGTTACTACGCCAGCCATGCCCTCTTCCCATACTACCTCATGAAGAACCGCTCGATCATTGCGGCATGCCTGCTTGGTTGCAACTCCTGGATTGCTTTTTAGTAAGTCATTCAAAACCCGCGAGAAATCTGTGCTGACATCAGTAACTAGCTCATACCGTATGATGTACTCCTCATACCTCCAGGTCGTGTTCCAGCTTTCCGTTTCCAAGGCCGGATATATCACGAACATCTTCAACATCGTTTCGTGCACCTGGGCAATCATCATCAGCTTCGCGATGAAGTACACTGATACCTACAAATGGGGTGCCGTCATCGCCGTCCCCACACAACTTCTCATGACGGGCTTATTGATCTATCTCCGCACACCCGATTCCCCTATCGCAATCCTGATTCTGGTGGAGGTACTCGGCGCCATGGCGAGCGCTATGCTCTACAACGTGGAGCAAGTTGCTATCATGATGGCTGTACCGCACGACCAAGTCGCTGTTGCTATCGCGCTTCTCAACCTTGTCACGGCTGTTGGTGGTGCGATCGGCCAGTCTGTTAGCGGCACTCTATGGGCTCAAATCGTACCCAAGAGGCTCGTCGAATACCTCCCTGAAGAATCGAAGCACCTGGCGCCAAAGATCTATGGTGATATCACTACGCAGTTGTCACTGCCATGGGGTAGTCCGGAGCGTCAGGCCGTGGTACACGCGTTCGGCGACGCGCAGAAGATCATGGTGTTGATGGGGACTTGTGCATTTGTGCCGTGCTTCATCTGGGTGGCCATGCTGGAGAATCAGCGCATGAGCGAGCGCAAGGCTCGCAAGGGTCTGCAGGCTTGATCGGTGTGGAAGAGTCGTGCTGTTCGACAGACTCAGGTGGTACAACAGGGTCGTTTGTATAAAATGACCGGTTGGTACGACGGGCTGGGGAAACGGAGGTCCGCGCGATACGCGCTGCAACACAATCTTGGTGGGTTGAAAAAGGAGTAGGCTAGCCTTCCGACTGGCTGTGGCAAGCGGTCGGTGGCCATTGACGGAGATCTCCCCTCGCGTTATGCATCATCTGAATATATGTACAATGGAATTGGCCGTGCAACCGGCTTCTGTGTTCGTTGGGTGGACTGTTCAGTGACCCTGCGTTGAGATCAAGAAGCCTGACCAGAAGGCGAACGTGCGGATTTGAGTATTGCCTATGCTCCATCTCAAAGTCGTGCTGGACATTTGTCTCGCAGAGTAAGTGACTATCATGCTGACCAAGTAGTGGATACGTCGATGGTTGAGGCTGGGTAGACATGTTGGATGGAGGTCGACAAGCCCCTGCAGATGAGAGCTCGGAATCAGCGGAACATGCATGCCACCATGACGTTTGGCAGTCCCCTCTTCTAAAGCTCCAAATACCCAAACACTAGTGAACCATGCACCATCTTAGCCCGCAGCACCTAGCCAAACGAGCCTTATCGTCGCAGTAACGGCGCACACCAGGATGCACCCTGCCCACCTGTCGGCGGTGAGGCGCCAACGCATCCCAGCCTCGCCAATTACCTGAGTCGTAGCTCCGGTGCGCTCCACCAGCCACTGACATCCCAACCACAACGAGCCCGCAACCACACTTTCCTGCAAGCTTGTCTGCGGTGCTTCTTCCTGCACCTGCTCAGAACCAAATTATTCTCCGACGTTGACACATTGATGTTGATTGACGTTGACAATGTATCTACCACATGTCCTCGCCTACCCACAGCTATTCGCCCTCCCGCCCGCCATCATCGCCCTCTGCGCAACACCCGTACTCGCCGAATCACCACCGCAATGGCCGCACAACGTACCCAGACACCTGAAATACTTTCCTGAAGATGAGGAACATGTGCAGAGGGGCTTGAGCGTTAAACAGCGGCTGCAATATGAGAAGCCCGTTGGAGTCAAGAAGATGAGCATGGACGAGGGCGAGATGTTTATGTTGGACAATTGGATATTCGCCGCGGATACCCCGTCGCAGCAATCGTCCAAGAGAACAGACTACGATGTCTTTGGCAATACGACTTCGCAGGCTATTTCGCCGCTACGGCCGCTGGCTCAGTCGGATTGGCTGGCGCGCATGCACATCAGAGATATTCTTCTGAACCGCCAGTTCAAGTGTCCAGATGGAACAACGAGTTGCGAGAGCATTGGCGCGCCGGATGTGTGCTGTGGCACGAGTAGCACCTGTGTTAGTGTCTCTGGGAGCTCAAGTGCAGGCGATGTGGGATGCTGTCCCCAGGGCCAGACTTGCGCGGGCAGTGTGAGCTGTGATGAAGCGAGTGGGTATACGAGTTGCCCTGATGCGCAGAATGGAGGATGTTGTTTGCCTGGCTTCAAGTGTCAGGGTATTGGATGTAAGTCTCAAACTCCATGATATCACGAAAGTAGTTTCTAATCCGTACAGGCGTCGCAGAATTCACATCAACAGCCTACATCCAACCCTCCACCTCCGCAACTCCAACCTCAACCTCAACCACCACAACCGCCGCCGCCATCCCCCCCACCACCTCCACCAGCACCAGCACCCCCTCCCCAACCTCCACCTCAACCTCCCGCTCCGCATACACCTGCTCAACAGGCTGGTTCTCATGCCCCGCCTCCCTCGGCGGCGGCTGCTGCATGAACGGCCGCACCTGCGCAACGGGCGCCTCCTGCCTCGGCGACGACGACAACCCGTCTTCCACACGCGCCCCCGACGCCCCCGTCCGCCCCACCAGCGCCGCCGTAACAACCACCGACGCCGCCTCCCCCAGCGACAACGTCTGCCCCGCCGGCTTCTACGTCTGCAGCGCGTACTACCCGTCTGGCTGCTGCCGCGTTGGCCGCGATTGCCAGACCACGGGGTCTTGTTCGCTGCCTGAGACGGATACTATTGTGAATACTAATGGTGTTGTTATCGTTGCGCCTACGGGTGCGGGTGGTGGAGAGAGTGCGGGAAGTTGTCCGCAAGCGTGGTATAGTTGTGCGGCGGATGCGGGTGGGAATTGCTGTCCTGATGGGTATGCGTGTGGGGAGCAGTGTACGGCGACGGCGAGTGGGCAGTCGGGTGTGACGGATAAGGCTCAGCCGAGTAGTAGTCAGGCGAGTTTTGTAGGGGCTTGGAGCGTTTGGGGGATGGTGCTTGGGGCGGCGGGGTGTGCGGTTGGTATGGTTGTGCTGTAGGGGGTGCGATCGGGGTGCATGGGTTTGGATGATATAATATGGAAATGATTCATATGATGGAATGATGTAGCTTCTGTATATACCGCGAATGAACGTCCTTGAGTAATGAAGATATATGCACTATGCTTGTCCATTTAAGGTACGTAGTGTGCTATCGCCAAAACGAATCCGGATTGAAGGAACATACACGGAGAGACGACTGCGAGTTCAGACGGGAGAATCACGCATATCAGCGCTTCAGAATCGAGTGAATTGAACCTGCTGCAACGCATGCGAAGACATCATAATCCGACTTGAATTCCCAATCTATCTCCTCACAGCTTAAAGCTACCAGCCCCTCTCTTCGCAGCCTCCTTAACCTCCTTACCCTCCACATCAGTGATAACACCCTTCCGTCCAATAATCTGCACACCACCCTTCTTAAGATCCGAAACAAGTTGCTTCTTCTCACCCCTCTTCTTCTCCTTGCCCTCCGTCTTCTTCTGCACCGGCTTATTAAGCCCAGCCTTCTTCGCCCTCTCCTTTGCACGTCTCCGCCTCGACATCTTCTCTTCCCGCGACATCTCGTCGTGGGCAACTGGCATACCGCTCTTGGTAACGATCTCACTCTTACTCTTGTCCTCGCCCGGCTTGTAAATTTCTTGCGGTGCAAGCATACTTGCACTCGCGACTTCGCCGCCGGCGGTGGGCCGCGCATCTTCCATTTCGATGGCGGGCGCGTCGGTCCGGATTTCTAGGTTGGGTGCTGCGGGCTTGGGCTTGAAGTGCGAGGAGCTGAGGGAGTCGAGTTTGGCGGATATGCTCTTCCACAACGCGGTGATCTCGTCGTGCTCCTTCTTCAGCTTCTCGTCTTTGGCTTCGACGAAGTTGGGGTCTGTCTCGCGTAGATGCTCTTCTTCGTAGATTTCGGCAAGGCCTTTGCCGGATTTTGTGTCGTCGAGCTCGAAGCGGCCTCGTCGGGGGCCGGTGGCGAGGTCGTCGGGTCGGCGGCGGTGGATCTCGTCGAATTCGCCGGCGAGGATGCGGCGCTTGATGAGCGCTTCGATGTCTTCGGAGGTTTCTTGTGTGACGATTGGTACGGGTTTGCCGGCTCGTTCGAACTCGAGATTCTCTTCGAGAAGCGAGTTTACTGGTCGATCTGCTGCGCGAGCTTCACCGGATAGCTGCCATTCCCGTTTCGCAACGTTGGCTGCTTCCAGTTTCCTGATCTCCTCTGCGATCTTGGCCTGTCTCCGCTCGTGTGTTGATCGTCTCGACTTCGGGTCTGAAGGGTCTACGTCGGAGAGGTCGCCCTCGCTTTCCATATCGTCGTCATCTTCGAAGAGATCGCGGTGTACCCTGGCCATGGTTCCTTCCACGTCCTCCTCGACTTCCTCTGCTGGTTGTGACTGCTTCTCGGGGAAGTTGTGGGGGTTGGGTCGTCCGCGCTTCTTGCCGTTCTTGTTTTTACTAGCCTTTTGTGCGGGGGGCGCGAAGAAGTCCTTGTACATGACGTTGTTGGCGTTCATACCGGTGTCAAGACCGTCCAGGTCGCCGTCCTCGAGGTCGTCCTCATCGCCACTGTCGCCTTCCGGTGCGTTCAGATCAACGTTGCCAAAGGTTGGTCCTCCCTCGTCAGACTCATCGTCGGATGCATTTCCGGCGATACCATTGGCTTTGCTTGTGGATGGGCCGTCCTCCATGGGGTCTGCCTCCCAGTTTACTTCGTCATCATCGCTGTCCACACCCTCTCCCCTCTGATCCTGCTGCTCTAGGAAGTCGGTTTGCTTGTTGAAGTCGTCTATGGAGAAGAATCCGTCGTTGAGGCCGTTGGGATCGGGTTGGTATGTTTCGGTGGGCGCATCGTCTGACGCATCGTCGGAGAAGATACCGTCTGCTCCATCGTCCATGTCGATGTCCTCTTCGTCCGGCTCGCCATCAAGCGCCTCTTCGTCCTCGTCTTCGTCCACACCATCGTATTCCCAGTCCACGCCCTCTTCGCCAATGTCTGATTCGGTGTGGTACTCCTCCTCGGCCTCGTCAATGCCCTCGTCGTCGTCTTCCTCGCCATGACGGATAGGCACAAGGCCACCGTCGTGGTCGGGCAGAGAAAGTTCGATCTCATCCGTTGTTGCTTCGACGATCTTGCGCGTCTGTTCGAACACCTGGTTTACGCCGAATCCGTCCAAGTGCACCTTCTTCAAGTGTAGCACGCTGATATCGTCGTCGTAGCCACCGCCCCGCTTCCGCTTCTTGCGCAGATCTTGCTGTCGCTGTGATTGTGACGCGCTTACGCCGGCGGCTACTGGGTCGAGATATCGTTTCGCAGCGGCAAGAAAAGTCGCATTGAGCTGCGCCGTGGGCTGGAGGAAGGCTAGTGGTTTGGTGAGCAGACTCGTAGGCGAAGTCGCTGCGGCCGGTTGGAGTTCCATGGGCGGCGGTTGAATGGAGCCGATGGAGAGCGTGTGGGAAGAGATTGACGTGTCGGGCGAGTGAGAAGGCGGCGCCATGCTCTGGATGTCTGGCAAAGGCGGGCGGCGGGTGAATGCGCTGATGGTTGCACTGAAGTTCGCGCCTGCCGCTGAACTTTTTTGGTGGAGCTGGTGGTCAAAGCGTGCGTTAGCCCCCTCCGCTCTCTACCATCTTCTCCGACTACGTGCACTGCACGTCAACAACCTACATCGTCCGGCACATGACTTCACCTTCACGCTATCTTTTACCTTCACTCGAGCAACCTTGTCTGATGCGCCGACGTTCGCACGCTTCAATGGGCACAATTAGCCTGCAAAATTAGCAGCGGGAACATCGCGGCGCATGTGGACGCTTCTTTTACGTACAACTCTAGATAGACTGCTTCAAATTTGTTTACACGGTAAAATGTATTGACGCTACGATGAACAGACTATTTCAAAGGTGTTATGCGAGACACTCCTTGACCTCCGGCACATGCTTTGCCAGTTCCTCTACAATCTCATTCCACACCCTCAGCGCAAGCTTCTCATTTTCTTCAGCTACGATGTTCGGCTTATCAGTCTGAATCTTATCATTCGCCCAGAACTTTCCATGGAGTTCTTCGTTCTGCGACGCGCCAGTAATGTATATGTTGGCTCCTTGATCCGCCGTCCTAAACGCCAATGTATGCACGATCGCCCGTACGATCTTGACACCAGGAAACTTGATATCGCGATCGATATTCGTAATGACTGCCCCGGGACACGTTGCCGTAATGATGACCTCGCTGGACGGAGTTTTCTTGGCGAGCTCTATGATGGCGTATCTCTGGAGAAGCTTCGAATAACCGTACTGCTTCTGGGCGCCGGCGAAGGTTTCTTCCCTGTTGAACTCGGGCAGGATCGCGGGCTTGTTTCGAACGTCATCAGAGATGTTCATGACCGTGTGCATCCCCGAATTGACGAACTGCAGTACAGGTATCTGCGTATGCTTTTGCGACTCTTTCAACTTCGGCAAGAGGAGTATACCGAGCAGAATGCTGGAAAGTGTGTTGACTTGTAGGTCACCCTCCCAGCCATGCTTCGACTGTTGGTAGACGGTGTTGAAGATTCCAACATTGAGGATAGCGACGTCCAAATGGTCGAGTTCGTCAACGGCTCGTTGCGCAAATTTGACGACACTATCGTATGAAGTCATGTCCAGATCCCAGACTTCAAAGTGGACACCTTCGCCGGCATCTGCTTCGAGCTGGCTCTTGGTCGCCGCACCTTTGGCTTCGTCTCGGGCTGTGATGATGATTTTTGATGCTCCTAGCTTCGCGAACTTGGCCGCTGCCGCATACCCTAGCCCTGAGGTGGCGCCTGTGACTAGCACATTTCGCCCTGCAAAGGACTCGGTGGACTCCTTGGGCAGAGCGCCCCACTTGTTCTTTACCATTCCAACGATCATCTCCATGGTGTTGGATGTTTAGAGAGGAATTGGTATTATTAGTTTGAAGGTAGATGCTGTTGTAGTTCAAAACGAGGCAAAGAGCCACCGGCAAGGGGAAACAATGTACTTTGTACCTCAACATGCACAGATGCCGATGAAGGGCCGAGCACGGCTTAATCTTCAAAGTTTAAAGCGCTCACGGATCGTCCGGAACCCAGCAACCCGTAGTCGATTGCGCGTGGATTCCCAGGTCGTATACAGCGTATAGCTTAAAGACAACAGACATAGGTCATTTTCCACTCCCCTGACAGCTTTTGTCCGCCGAGGTGACATGTTCAAAGGGTCCCTAGATAGCACCTCAGAACTTTGCTTCATCCGGAGCATGGACTGGGGGGTCATGTTTATTGAGTTATGTCCGCAATATCGTAGAGAGACGCCTGCGTTACTTGAAGGGCGAGCTATTGCGTTGTGTGATGAATGGAAACCTCCTCACCAGTCTTGTATTATCACTACGTACTTCTAGGATTCTGTCTCATGTGCGGAAGACGTGGCCGCGAAATGAAATTTGCGTGATGGTCGGTATTGATGAGTTTAACGCGCCGCGTCTCCAATGCGATGTTCTTGGGAGATGTGCTAACTTGGCGGCCCCGCATGCATTCGGCTATCTCGCATGGCAGCGCCACCGACCTTAGAATGGTTGGTACGCTAGATGCGGGACTGCCCCAGCCTCCCCATCTCCATTAACCCCCAACAATTACCTTGTGACCTGCAAGCCAGCATCAACGACTATGTGTCACGATGGAAGAGCGCGAATACCAGCTGCCCGCATGTCAGAAGTGCAAACTGCGCAAAGTCAAATGCGACAGACAAGCACCCAAATGCACAAACTGTAGGAAAGGGAATGCCGCCTGCATCATCGTTGATGCTATCACTGGCGAACAGTATGCACGTGACTACATCCGGCAGCTGGAAGAGAAGGAACTTAATCTGCAGCGTAGGCTGAGCAATCTTGACGACACGGGTGTTGCGACACCAGCCTCCACCGAGAGATCGGACGTTGCGAATCGGACACCAACGGGCCCTGAGACGGTAACGAGCTCAGATACCCAGAGCGGGTTTGTTGGCGACGGCAGCGGCCTGGGCTTCTTGCAGAACATCCTTTCTGATACCAAATGGCAACACCATCGCGCACAAATCCTGGAGCAACTTGCGAAGCGCCCTCGTATTGCTAGACATCGACCTGTCGCTCGAGCACTACCACCACTGGCGCAGGCACGACAATTATTTGACAACTATTTCACTCGGTTTCACGTCCACCATACTTTTCTTCTTCATAGCGAGATGCTAGACGTCTTTAGCAGGGTTTACTCCCTCTCGCCCACACCAGAGAGACCCTCGGCCCAGGACTACTTTCGCCTCTTTATGGTATTCGCGATCAGCGATACGACCAGGCATCGCGAGTGCCAGGCTGATGGCCGAAGTGCCGAGCATCCGTATGGGTATTATCTTGCGGCTGAACATTATCTTGCGGGCATACCGTTGATCAAAGATGCGGAAGCCATCCAAAACTTGTTACTGATAGCGAGATTCGGCATGTACCATCACATTGGAGCATCGATATGGGAAATATCCCGCTTGTGTATGCGGCAGTGCATTGAATGGGGTCTTCATTCGAAAGCACAGGACGGCTTGAACCCATTGAAAGAACAACATCAGCGCAGGATATTCTGGGAGTGCTACGTCCACGACCGTTACAGCTCGGGCATATTAGGTCGTCCTTTCGCTCTTCTCGAGTCGGAGATAAGCATGCCACTACCGATTGATGCTGACGATGAAACAATCGTAACGTCTGGTGCTAGTGTACTCGAAGATGTTCCCTGCGTCACGAACGTTAGGCCAAGCGAGCTGTCAGTCAACCTGTTTTGCATCAAGCTACGACGGCTAAGCTCTCGGGTGCACACTGCCTTCTACACTGGCCGAAAGCCCGCCTCATACAATAGCGAAGACAGCACTCGGACCTCCAGGTTTCGATCGATAGGCCACATGTACTCGTCATTCGTGCAATTCGACAAAGAGCTCCGCGCATTGCGGTCGTTAGTACCAGTTTTCGTAGTCCCCAAATGTCTATACGAGCGGTCTGAATGGCATGACTTTATGTACGAGAAGGACCGTCTCCTGCTTGCCCGTGGCGCCATGCACAACCTACCAGCACGGCAGTTCTCCGGGACGTCCATTGTGAGGGAGAAACTGAAAGTGTGCTATCAATCAGCGATACATACAATACAACTGTATGCAGACCTTCGACGCAGAAACGCTATCACTTGGACACGCAGCTACTTTCAGATGATCTTTACCGCAGGTCTTACTGTCATCTATTGCATTATCTTGGGTGTTTTGAGCGACAATGACGAGCTCTCCGTCACTGACGCTGAAACTCTGCCAACGCTCGACACGTGCAGCTCATTGTTAAACTACTTCAAGGACAAAATGCCAGACGCAGGTTCTTTCGCCACTGTCTTCAGCGTCATACTGGAAGAGTTCGTCAAAGATCGTTTTACATCTGCATTACATGTGTCAGAAAATGTCCCCGCAAACCCAATTCAGCCAGATTATCAACAGCCTCCAACCCATGGCACGCAAATCTACCCCGATCACCATCTCAACGCGGGCTCGCTGAACTCGAGCATGGACACAATCGATGTCGATCACCTACAATCAGACGGTCAGCAGCAAGAACGGACAAACCTGGATCACATGATACTTGGGGACTTTCCCGACCTTCCAATTCACCAAGATTCGCAAGACTTCGGCATGGGTCTAACTAATAACCTTTTGAACCAACTTGAACATGGACTGGGCGAGTACGCTTGGGGCTCGTTGAACACCAACGTAGATTATTGGAATTCTTTCTCCTACAACTAAAAAAAGGGAACGGCCAAGAAAAGGTACGGTGACGCTTCAGTGAGCAGCACCCTAGCTAGATCGCTCGGACAGTCTGGATATAGTCATACAATCGATCCACTGCCGCCATCGCAGTCTCCATCTGCGTCTCGGCCGTTGCAGCACCTACGTGCGGAGTGCTCACGACCCGTCCCGTTTCCCACAAACTACCATAGATCTCTTTGGTCGGAGGCTCATGCTCATGGCAGTCCAGACCCGCTCCCCAAATCAGACCTTCTCTCAAAGCGCGTTCAAGATCGACCTCATGCACAATTCCGCCTCTGGCCGCGTTGATCAAGATCGAAGTGGGCTTCATGATCGTGAATTGTTCATACGATATGAGACCCCGGGTTTGTGGTGTTAGAGGAACGTGTAGTGTTACCACATCCGAAGCGCGAAGAACCTCCTTAAGAGTCTCTGCTCGGGTATGCGCAATATCTTCCCAAGCATCCTTTGGCAGTAGTGGGTCGTATGCTACGATGCGACACCCTAATCCGCCTTGGAAGATTTGCGCGACCTTTCGGCCAATATTACCCATACCCACGATCCCGATCGTCTTCTTGTTGATGATCAGACCCGAGCAGGTCTCTTTCGGCACACTAAACCCGGCACTCTGCAGCGCTGTTATGCGACCAACCTCGCGAGCCACAGACATTGTGAGCGAAAGCACAGTCTCCGCGACAGCCTGCGCATTCACTCCAGGCGTGTTGAAGATCTTGATACCGCGTGCTCTGCAGGCCTCGCCATCAATCTTGTCGATTCCAACGCCCTGTTTGCCGATGGCTTTGAGGTTCTTGCATGCTTCGACGTCTTCTGCGGTAAGGTATGATCCGCGAATGACGAGGTATTCGGCCTTTCCCCTCCATTCCGAATGCTTGGGGTCTGAAGGGAGGATAGCGTTGAACAATGACTGTGCGCGTTCTATGGCTCTGGGATGCAGTGTATCGAGCAGGTAAACAGTAGCCTTGTCTACTGCATTTGACGGTGACGAAGAGGGGGCAAATGTCTCTGATTCGATAAGTGCAGGAGCCATGATGACAACGATCGCGTGAAGCAAGCCGCTCGAATCGGTTTGCGAGGGAAGTTTGAAGTCCAAGGTAACGTGGAATTGCGCTTGTTGATGGTATATGGCAGCCACACCCAAGGTGATGTGTACCTAGATGTATGTGGATAGCCGCACTACCCACACGCCGGGCATTAGAACCAGACCCCACATCTGAATCTGATGCCGAAGCCAATGCAGTGTCAGTATACCGTTGAATTGGTCATACGCGGATCAATAGAGCTCGTCGGACGACCACCGAAAAGGCCGCAGCGCTAGCTTCGGGGGGTGTCCGACTGCCCGAGCGAAACGACCCCTCACCCATGTCTTTTCAGTGCTACGCTGCCTTGTCGGATTGGAACACCGCGCACCATGATTGCCGCACATCGGAACTAGATCTAGCAGCGCAAACGACGTTAGCGGCAAGATTGTCTCAATAGGATTTGGGCGTTCTCCGGCTTTGGTTGGCTTTGCCCGCTCATACACTGCCGATGATGAGTCGTCGTACATGGCACGACACCGCGATCTCTGACGCGGCCACTAAGCTTTCGAGATGCTCGTGAGATGATGGTCGACACTGCATTGCGACGAGTATGTCCCGAAAGCCCTGGAAGGCAGTGTAGTGCATTGAGAGTATAGTGAGACTGCTCAGGCATTGGAGCACGCATCTTTGTCGCTCCTGGGTAAACGGCTGCGATGCGGTGAATACACCAATGAAGAATATCAGGTATCCATCGAGAGCTCCTGGCGCTAGCTCCTGTCTGGTGAGCTGATGTTCGATGGATGTCGCATACCCGACGAGGTGTTCCTCCATGCGGCCCAACATCATGTCTCGCCCTGGGTCCTGTGCGAAGCTCGGACACTTGAGCAGTTCTACGAGACCACGGGCATGCAGTTGTTCTTTGAGCAGACCACCTGCTGATAGTGCTCTCGGCAATGTCTCTCTCCAGTGGCATAGATTGACGAAATGGCAAAGCAGGTCTTCATCGGTATGTTTTCGAATTGAGCGCAAGAGCTGCGCATGTTGGATCAAATATCGCAGGGCGATCACTTCCGCATCTGTACCTGCAGGCTGTGGTGAAGCTGGTGGCGATATCATGATATTGCCATCGTTGAGACAAAATGGCCGGTCCATAGCCGTACTGAGGTGAGTGTCCAGGATGTACAACGTCCAGAACGCTCTTCCATTTTGCCTCTTACTCTCGCTATCCGAACTTACATCCGAGACGCGAGACGTGTGCATACCCGCAGAGATGCAGCGTGTCATCGCCAGTCCAAGTAGATGCCAGGACGATCCGCAATATGTTGTATAGAGTGAACATATGGCAAGGGCTGTGAGACACTGCACGACTACCAAGTCGTTGGACTGACTGAGTATGCGTGGCATGAGTTGCGAGGCCGTTGTTGTTAGCTCAGATATCAAGACTACCGCGAAGCTGTGATTTGGCGATAGCAGGAAGCCGAGTGCAATGCCTATTCTGACAAGCAGGATCTTTTCTGGGGACTCATCCATCATCATGCCAATGTTTGTATCTCGCTCGGCCGTTACGACGATACTGTACAAGTCTTCGAGCTCGCTGCGCGTCATGACGGGAAAGGTTGTGGGAGCTACTTTGACAAACCGTCCGAACGCTTCAGCCGCCTGAGCACCATCCAGTGTACTGCCCTGGGAGAATAACTCATTACGAAAGTCTGCCATAGGCCCAGAAAGTGATGTGTTGGTTCCGATGGGGCTGCTCGGGTTGGTGTTGCCTATACTCGCCGCGGCAAGAAATAACGTCGAGAACGAAAGTCCCTGGTTCGAAAATGGTTGTCGGTCTGTCGGCTCTGCCATTGCACTAAGACTCAAGTAATTGGCTTCGTGCATTGTATGATGTAAGTCGTTGCTCGACCCGGGCTCGACTACCGATGAGGCTATCGTCCCAGCATTTGGCCCATGGGGAGTGCCAGACGTGGACAAATTGCTATCCAAAGACTGATTCAGTGACTCTTGATCGTTCGTGACCTTGTGCTGCATATCATAATGCCGGTTGCTCCTGGCTTCCAGAGCGGCAATTCTCGACTTCAAAGACTCAATGTATGAGACGGAAGACGGATCCGAAGCGTCGATTACGGAGCCAAGGCGACGCTGCACACATTGCGATGCGGCGACGCGACATTGCTGACACGTTGGCGTATCTCGAGAGCACTGGGTACTAAGTTAGTCTTTTGATGGTGTGAAGAAATTGCAGTGATCCTGTGCGCGGATTCGATCGCCAATTATGGGGGGAAACAGGTATCGAGCAGACTTGACGTGCTGCCATTTATGCGCGAAGAAGGAGCGACCACCAACCTTCTGTTTCCGCTTCCAGCATCTTTCGCAGGCTTGCGATTGCAGGTTTATCATGTTGGTGAATGATGGTAGAGTTAGTCTCTGGGTTCAAAGATGGTGGTTTCGAAGTCGTGAAGGAACCGAGGTACCGGTTACCAAATCGGAAGCTAGCGCGTCTCGGGTCTCACAGCCAGGACTATTTTACGAGCGAGCGCTTTACATCTAATTATCGCGAATTCGATACTTGTCATCACGGTTGAGTACATCCAGATTGGATATGTGTTTCGACATTCTGTTATAGAATACAAGATGTCGACATCTATGAGCTTGCTAATACATTCCCATGCCCGTTGACTTGATCGTTCATCTTCAATTCTTCCACTGTCACACTAGCCTTCTCTTTTAATGCATCGATAATTCCGTTGGTCGACGCGATAGAGGCTCCGTTCCTCTCAGGCTGGGTGGGCTCAGTAGAACTCTTGACCCTTGCATTTAGTTGTGCCATCTCGCCTGCTCGCTTCGTAGCTCCGCCGAGTAGCAGAGGTCCATCTGTCGCCGCCATAACCCATCGCGCGCCCATCTTGCAGAACTTCTCCACAAGGTCTAATCTTGAGTGCAGGCCTCCTACGCCGACCCATTTGCCGTGCTTCTTGCAGGCGTCAATCGTCTTCTCATATACTTCGAGTAGCTGCGGGCTCTCGTATTGTCCTGGAATACCCAGCTCGGCGCACATGTCATTGGTGCCGATCAGTAGACTGTCAACGCCTTCAATGGCGGCTAGCTCTTCAACACATTCGACTGCTTCAAGCGTCTCTACCATGGGAATGACGAGGGTTTCGCGATTGCACACAGGACTCATTGCCTTGGCGGCGAGGTGTCGGTACTGGAATTGTGGCATATTGTTCGTCGAGGAGCGATGCCCAAGAGGCTGGAATTTGGCGGCGGCTACCACTTCTTTGGCATCTTGTACAGAGCGGATGTGCGGGACTATAACGCCCATGGCACCTCCGTCAAGTACCCGAGAGACGAAGAAGGGGTCTTTGGATGGAACGCGGACTATGGGTGAAATGCCGGCGTAAAGAGCTGCAATACATATCTGACCTATTCTACGTTAGCTCGGAGGTTTATGGAGAGGGGCGGGGCGCTGAGGAGAGAACGTACTGGTCGTGTCCAAGTCAAACGTTGAGTGCTCCATGTCGATGAGAATACCATCAAATCCCGCGGTCTTCGCCATCATCGGAAGCTCAACGCTGCGAACAAGCTTCACGGACAGCGTGTAGGCTACCTCATCGCGGAGCATCTTCTCCCGGATTGAGTTGTGAAGAGTGAGTTCCGCCATGTTTGCGGGTGGTATCGAGCTCTGAGGTTGGGTGAATGATTCAACAAGAGGGGATTGGTTAGACTTCGAGCTGTACGAGGTTTCTTGTTGTAGCAATGCCGACTGTCATATGTACGTGAACGCAACCTCCTGTAGAATGAGCTTACCCAGCATAGTAGTGTACGCTAGCGGCCGCAGCCGATCACCGTGATGCCTTCGGACCATGACCGAAGCGCCGAGCATCAGCGTACATAGCGCCCGGCCTCGAGCGGCACGTCAGCGTTGTCGATGTTGACGATGGATAATGAGGGGGGTGGCGAGGCGAACGTGTGTCAGCCGCGTGCCGTGCCTGAGTCGTGCAGGGTCCATCAGGCGCTCCGTCGCCCCTGCCAGCTGCGTCCGCGTTCACGCGTTTCTTCTTGCCCCGCTTCCACGAGACGCTACGGGCGACCACCGACGCGTAGCGCAATCCTCGGATGGCCGCCGAGATGTCACGCACATCGGGCGACCACCGGAATCGTTGACTCCACAGAAATCGCCCAGGCGCGTGGAGCATAGCGCGTCTGGGGTCCGGGGAAGGCGTGGACGGCACAAACCATCCCCGCACGCTGGACGTCGTTGAAGCCAAACAGGATGCAATAGCGAGACAATGAAGGACGGCAGTGCGCATTGGCAGATGCTTACTACACCGACACTTAGAAGAAGATAACGCATGTAGTCAAATATAAAGAAGCCGCTGCCTTCGAAAAGCGGTTGCGTTACACCGCACTGCTCGGGCCTTTCCAGCTTCAAATCCGCCATCCATCTACTCTCCATTCCTGCGACCGCCTCCATGACTACCGACGACAAATCTTTGAAGGGGAGTTGTGAAGTCATCAAGGTGGAGGATGCTGGACTTTCGGAAGCCGAGACCTTCCTTCAACACTACCCTCTGCTGCGAGGGAAGACCAAAGATGAGCTTGACAGGCTGAACAAGGCTGTTCTGAAGAAGCTCGACTGGAAGTTTCTGCTTATCATCACCTTAATGCTCTTGATGAAGTAAGGCAGCTTCCAAGCTACTGTGGCGCGGAAGCACATAGACTAACGTTCGACAGCTACCTCGACCGCATCAACGTCTCAAATGCACGTCTTGCTGGTATGCAGCATGATATCCACATGACGGATGTGGAGTGGTCTGCGGGTATCTCGCTCTTCTACGTGGGATACATTATCTCACAGGTGCCAGCCAACATCATCATGTCCAAGCAGAAGCCTCGTATCTGGATGCCATGCATCATGCTCGCGTGGTCCTCCGTCACGATATGCATGCCTGCTTGCACCCGACCCTGGCACTTTATGCTTTGTCGTTTCCTCGTAGGGTTC